AGATGAGTCCAGACGAGCTCTTTCATCAGAGAATAAAAATATATAGTAAGCGCTCATCTACAATATAAAGCAGCTGAACATTAAGGAAAACACATAAAAAGTCCCGAAATACATAAATAAAAGAAATGCAGTGCTCTTAAAAATTAATGAATATAGTGATAAACACAGTCCGGTGAGAACAGTGCTCCTTGATTCCCAGTGCAAATGGTAGAAATTCACACTAACCAGAACGCGCATGGAAATGCGCATGTATATATATATATCCTGAAGATCCCCTCTCCTCTCAGGTCTGGTCAGGGAAATAGCTTGGAAAGAGGGAAATCCTACGCCCTCATGTGGTAAGAAAGTGGTCCAGCAGGTCAGAGCAGTATCAATCTGGATAAGCCTCCAAAAGAGCTGACACAGGGATCACCAGGGCTGCAAGGATGGAAGAAGCTCCTACACATCCACCCTGAGAACATCCGAGCAAGGATCTGTGAGCTCTTTCATCAGGTTCTGCAAGATTCTGCAAAGCTCCACCATCCATGCTGCATATGCACGGTACCATTTGCTGGCAGACACCTTGGAGATTCCACCAGGCTTACCATCCATGTTGCACATGCACAACACCACCTGCTGATGGACTCAATCGATCTCCTCTCTGGATCAGTCACACAACATCATCTGGCTACAGACGTCTCACCCTCCTACCCATGAGCCTGTTTTGAAATTCTAATATGTGAGTAACTACCTATCTTTTTATTAAATACCTTCACAGTACACACACTTTAGAGGCACTGTGTTTCTTTGTTTTCCCTTCAGTGGAACTCTGCTTTAAGAAACCAGAGAATATCACTTTATTAATTAAATTAATCAAAACTAACTTAAGCGCCAAGGTGGGACTGGATTTTAAAAGAAGATATGTAGAGAGATTGCTTAATTGTCGCAATGCTCCTTTACAGGTAGACTTTATTTTCTTTCAAAATTTTTCAACAAAGCTGTTTTATTGTGATTTGATTGGATATGTTAAGGTTCACTGATGTGATTGGTGTTTTGGGTTAAAGTTAAGTTTTAAATCAATAGCTTAAAAGCATGAAACATTGTAGCTTAATATTCGTTTGTTCCAATAAAAAGCCAACAAATTGCATTCCTCTTTTATCATGCTCTGTTTTATATAAAATATATTATATAAAAGGGTTGTTTTTTTTTACCTTTGTTCCTGCTCTTTGGTACCTTCATGTGTACACTTCATGTGACAACAGAGGTAGGAAAAGACCTCTGACTAAAGTAGAACTTTACCCATATTGATTTGATAACAAATTTGATGGAAAATAATGGTGTAATGTTCAAGGAACATACGTTCCACATTAATAATTATGCAACCATAATTGTTACTGTTTCTTCTTTCTGGAGGCTACCATTTTGTTGAAGCCCAGAGCCTCTGAGCAGTATACATCTTTAAGCAGTCAGCAGATTGGCATCTACATTTCCAGCACAGTGCAGAAAAATAGAGAACAACTGGGCATTATTACTGAATATTAAAAAGTATAGGCACTTATTTTTAATGTTTTAGATAGCTATACCTGCAAAAGGGGCCAGCCTGAAGTAATCTAGCAGGACTTAATTTTTTACTAAAAATCCACTTAAGATGAATAGAAGCACTAAGGACAAAACTTTATACAGCAGTATTTTTCCAAAAATAAACCCCAGAAGTACTGGGTTCTCTTTAACATTGCAGCATATTAAAAAATGCATTTATTTATGTGCTTAGAGTTCAAATTTGCTTTTTTTCTCTAGGAACGGCCCCTGTGTGGTTACAGGTAAGTTAATTTGCTGCTTCAGTGAGACAACTGAACTAATGTAGAAATGTTAAAAAAAATGAATATTCATCATTGCCATTAAGATTTAAGAGTTTATCCTTACTGGATGTCTAAATTTTTAAAACAACAGAGAATATTATTATGGGCCGATTGCATAATCACATTTTTAATTATGTTTTTCAAATATTAATTTTTGAAAAGATCTGAAAGGTAACTTAATATACAGCTGGAATACAGATGCACTGAAAGTGAATATTAATGTTTAATTTTTTCTTTTATTTATATTTTCCATTCTCTAATAACCCAATTTCAGCATCATTTCTTGTTTAACTTATTATGGCTTTTTGCATGCAATAATAATTGAATCATCATAAATTCAAATTGTATTTAATAGATTTATTTTACCAAGGGTGGTCTTTCTACACTCTGTATAGCTTGGAGTGGCGCCACCTAATTCATATGAATTAAACCATACTACCTGGTGTTGCTGATTTTTTGGTAATGCTGGAAGAGTTGTTGGAGTGACAATGCAGTGTCTACTAAAGTGGAGTCTTGTCTTTGAAAACAGAACTGATAATGTTATGTACAGTGAATGCTACAACATGTTGGATATTGTGAAAGGCTTAATATTACCATAAAGGGCAAGTTCACCTTTATAACAAAAATAATAAATGCACATATTTTAAACAAAACATGCAGGAAAAAAATGTGCATATATTATTTTTTTCTGATGAGCCTGCACAGCATTGCAAATGCAATCAGTAGATCATGGGTGCAATGCAGAGCTCCTGCAGATATTACCTCGAGCTTGCCTGCCCATACCTCCATAGGGGAAAACCGTTACAAAGCTTAAGGAAGTGTCAATGAGCTACTAGAGCACTCACTAGCACCCTCACAGTTCATTGAAAATCACAAGTTGTGTATTCCCGGGTATACATAGAATTTGCACATTTACTTTATACCATAACAATATGCTCAGTATTGCTCCACTATATCTTCTAGTTTAACATCATCATATATGATACTGTAAATATATTCCTGTTTTACACTATTCAAGGAAAAACTGCACAAATGTTACAAGATTATCTGTGATCTGAGTGTAAGGTATGACAAGCTTGCAGTATCTGTATCAAAGTGAGAGCACAAAACACGTGTTGCTCACTTGCATTCCAGATTTAGTGTGTTAAACAAAATAGATGACATTATACAGATAATTATATTCTTTATAGTGACAGCACAGGCCACATAGAAAAGCTCATCAATTTGTATTAGAGAGTTACCATTACTAACACATAGCATACTAAACAGAGAAAATGAATGTTAGAACAAACTCAAAACTGAACAAATATAGCATAAACAAATTGTGACCAGCCTGTATAAAAGAGGAGAGCACACAACACAAGTTGCTCACTTGCATTCTGAGTCTTAATGTGAGCTTGTTGGTATCGGTCTCCTGAAGTCACACTATAAATTATTAGAGCTCCCTCTGTGACTATCGTGGAGTCAGACCCCTGACCTTCTCACCAAACCCGTGACCGAAGGACTAGCCAATCTAAAACCGCGATGTCACGTGCATAACAATGCCACGCCCAGCTGCACCCTGCACAACTATTTTCCAGGTAATGGACCACAAATCGATGTACCAGCAGCCTGAATGCGATTGTTACTGGGTCAGGTTAATTACGCAATTAACCCTTCACACTGCCACCACCTCCTTTTTGTACAGAGAAAGAGGAAACTCGGCAATATCAGCAATAACACTGTGATGGTTGAGATAATCATCTGTAGAGCACTGTCACCGCAGACAGGTTATACAGAGGGTTACACAAACACATTAGCGCTCTTTTAGAGGCAGGAATTCGTAAGTTGCATTAACGAGCTATAGAAACAGTTCAACACTTTCAGAAAGAAAGATTTATTACTAAAAGGTCAAAAGGGTGCAATAAAAATATTTACAGAGAAAACATGTAGCCAATATATATATAAATATACAGAGAACAATACCACAGCAAAGAGGTAACAGAAAGGAGGTTAAAGGGTTAAAGTACTTGCCAATCAGTCTTGGGTTAAGCAGATCAAGTTTCAGAGCAAAAGGGCACGTCTCCCAAGTTGGTTCTAATGTTAAACGTGAGAATTCTTCAACTTACACTCTTAGGCCTGACAGCCTATTTTGTGTCCCCCAGCAGGGGGTGTCTCTGAAGCCAAGGACCAATGCCTCATTTGGGGAGGGGTTGTCTGGGCGGAGACCCAAACTAGAACCAAAATCTCTCCTAGCTCATATTTTGGCTCATAACTTTTCCTAGGCACAAGTACCATTCCACCCCGCGGGTAGATTAATATGCAGATGCATCTGAGGAACGGTTAGATATGAAATATAAATTACAGACTTGAATGGTTCAAGTGATGTAATTTTCTGCTTTCCTAGGTATTCCAGTCAACTCGGCACCCAGCTCAAAGATGGTTTATAGCTCGGAGCTTACTGCTGTGCCACGGCCTGCTTGTGACACTTCCAGCACACACACACACCGACCAAATGTCACTGTGATTCTCAGAGAGGGAGGGGGAGAATGAGGGGAGATATGTTTGTACAAGATGGATGATCCTTTGCCAAGAGGTTGGAGCCAAAATGGTTGAACCGCGTCCATCACTGCGTGCATGATGGCTACACCGTCTAGCCCAAGCCTAATAATAGCATTAGCGGGAGGTTTATTCATTTACTTGCTACACAAATAATGAAGAAATCAGGATAAGAATTTAATGAATTTGTGAAAATTACACTTGCCTTTGAGCCTCAGGTATGTTGATCAGATATGTATAAATATATTTGTATGATATATGGCTGCACCTACTTTTATTTAGATTTTGTAGCACAATATAACATATATAAGTAGTTTTCGTGTTTAAATTATTAGAGAGAAAAATGTTTCTGGATGAGAAAGTTTTAGGGAAACCTTTAAATGTTGATCACAAGAGCAATTCACTTTGTTTAACCACTTTTGTGCTCCCTATAGAAGAAATACTGCTACAGAGTGGCAGGGTTGTGCAAAATCATGTATATATACGTGATTTTGTAGTTCCGGGTTGGGAGCCATTTGTGGCCTCAGCTGTCAATCACCTGGGTCCCGGCCGGTGATTCCCTGCTGGAACCTAGCAATCTCAGAGGATTTCTGACGACAGAGACCTGTATGTAAACAATACAGATATCTGATCTGTCAGCTCCTGCACACTGCTTTGTATGGCTCTGCATAGCAGAAACATACAAAGCAGTGTGCTTACAGTGAAGCACACACACACAGCCTACATAGTAAAATAGCACACAGTTAACCCTTTGATTGCCCCACATGTTAACCCCTTCCTGCCCAGTGCCATTAGTACAGTGTCAGTGCTTTTTATTAGCACTGATCACTGTATTGTGTCACTGGGGATGTCAATGACACCAAATCAGTTCCCCCCAGTGCCAGAATGCCCGCCGCAGTTCCGCTATAAGTTGCTGATCGCCGCCATTACTAGTAAAAAATAAAAATTCCAATATATATACTGCCATTTGTAAAATCTATAACTTTTACGTAAACCAATTAATTTACACATATTGGGATTTTTTTTTTAGCAAAGACATGTAGCAGAATACATTTTGGCCTACATTTATGCCAAAATTTGATTTTTTTAATTTTTTTACTGGATATGTTTAATAGCAAAAAGTCAAAAATATAGTTTTTTTTCAAAATTGTTTATAGAACAAAAATAAAAACACACAGGCAATCAAATAACACCAAAAGAAAGATCTATTTGTGGGGAAAAAAGACATAAATTTAATTTGGGTGCAGCGCTGCATGACCTTGCAATTGTCACTTAAAGTAACGCAAAACATGGCCTAATCAGGAAGGGGGCTAAATCCTCTGGAGGGCAAGTGGTTAAATACTAGTAAAGTTTCTAACTGCCATACTGCTTAAAGCCAAACTCTTGGAGGAAAAAAAGTTCCCTCAATGCCTAAATAATAATTTTTTTTACGTGCAAAAATCCAGAAAAAACTTCTTGAATCCACTGTCACATAACTTCTAGAGTGCTTTGGTAGCAGTAATTGATCAACAGTTGTTCCTAGGCCACAGACGTATGGTTTTAAGGGTGGCTTTCTACATGGATTCCAGGGACTGTTCCATTTACCTAAAGTGAGAATAACACTTCTGGGTTACAAATAAGATTTCTTCCCCTTTGGCAGATGTTCCTGCCAGGGGTTTCCTTTATAAACCTTTATTTTTGCGCTCGCCCTTGGCCACAGTTATTAGGTCTGATGTAAATAGCACAGGCTATTGTATGAGCACTAGAGACTGCAAAGTTAGCAGGATATTCTTCTTCTCTGTTATAAATATATAAAAATATATTTTGTAATTCTATTGTATAACCCCTATACTTTTACTACAATGTAGTTGACTACTAAACAACCGTTCCACCCTGAATAAGCGACATTAGCCACAAAACATGTTGATGGTGAACTCGGGAAGGAAGCCCCATCACACTTTATCATAGACATTGCTGTAAATGATTAGGATTATATGATTATTGAATTTGGCAGGTGTCCAGTCTCAGTTCTGGGTGGTGCTTATGTATTCAACTTTTACAGGTGTCTAATATACTGTACATTTACATAGTTAGATAGCTCTATACCTCTTTTAATACAAGAGAGGATTTTGCTTGCTTTAGAAACCGCAGCTTGGCATTGCATGCCATTATTAAGCTTGTGATCTACCAGAACTCCCAGATCCTTCTCAACCATTGATTCCCCCAATTGTACCCCCTATTCCCCCAATTGTACACCCCGTTTGTATATTGTTTAACAAGATATAATAATTTGTTTAATTTTTTAATACTTTTGCTTGCCCAAGATGTACCTCTAAAATCCAACTTTTTGGAGGAATATTTCTGTTTCTCTATTTTTTGTGATTATTTAAGAAAAGGATGGGGTACAGCGGAGGTCAGTGGAGTCAGTATATAGATGTCATATTCTTCTTAACCCATCCTTTGGCATCCTAATCTGATATCTCTTTTGCACAGGTTCTATGAGCTTCTGGTTTGAAAGTTAACATTAACTCCCACAGTACAATCACTTTATCAACATAATTATATTCCATTAATTTCTCGGCTTAGAGATATATTGAAACTATGATCATCATATCCTGTTTTTAGGCAGAGTAACAGCTATAAAAATGTCTATCCCCTCAAATTGACTATACTTTTTATAGCTATCCTGCTTTATATCTCTGAGGCTGCTATAGACCATATTCATTGTGAAATAAATAAATGCATGTATGTGGTTGGGTAAGCAACTCAGATTAAAAAAACAAAATCCTTTACTGCTCTCAAAATTCTGCAATACATTGCCATGTACCAAGGCAGCCCTACAGGGATAAAGAGCACCCTGTCCTCACATGTGAATGCCAAATAATCCTAATATTTGAGGGAATAGGACTTTCTTGGTGCTGATGAACAAACTGTACATAAAAGCTTTTTATATATCAAAAACAAACTTTTTTATTAAATTACAAAAAATATTTATATTAAAAACAACATAAACTCAGTCATATTTACAGTGGATTCCCATAAAAACTGTAAAGCCATACCCATGCTTTAGGTGTTCATAATTGGTTTGACATAGACATTTTACTTGTATATCAATAGACACCATAAAATAGGTACAGCGAAGACACATAGGAAGCCTTTTCACAGTGGATGTATTTCAACATGTTTCGCAGCATAAAGCTGCTTCTTCAGGAAAGATGGGAATTACAACATCTACAGAAAAACAAAAACAAAATAATACAAATATATTATATATTAATCTCCAAAAAACTACCACTGGGCAGGGATCTGCAGAGCTTACACAGGGTTAGGAATTTGACTAGTATACCCCAGGTTAGAGTCCAGGGAGATGCCTCCTACGGGTGTGGGAGACACATAAACAGATCAGACACTCAATAAAATGTACATAAAGAAAAAAATCTGGTTCCAGTAAATGGCCGTTATAGAGAGCTGAGGTAATAATCCTACTATACCCAATATTTATATGCTGACCACATTCAGCTGGGACATGAAGCATTCAAGGCTCTTCCAGCTGATTGCCCATTATGGTAAATAGCAATAAAGGTGTGTTAAAGCAATTCAGCATGGAGCCTTTAAGGCACTCCATTGGAAGAGCCTTGAATGCTTGAAAGCAAAGTCTAAACAATATAGTAATGTTAATAACATTATATTGAAAGTACCTTATTGGCTGACAAACACCAGTATTCAAAAAGACAAAACATTTTATGCGAATAAATCACCAGGACAAAATGGCTTACACTTGAAAGTCCTCAAAAAAGCCATTTTATAGCTGGACCTTTCTTTATTATTTTTAAGGACACCTTACGTACTGGAATGGTACCAGCTGATTGGCAAAAAGCAAATGTGGTACCAATTTAAAAAAAGGGCTATGATATCTATCTGGAAACTACAGACCAGTCATCCTAACATCAATAGTATGTAAACTATTGGAAGTAATGATAAGGGATCATATCCAGGAATTTGCTAATGAGAATTTTATCATTAGTAGTAATCAACATAGACTTATGAAACACTGCTCATTCAATTAGGACATAAGCTGTAATTTGGATAGGGGAAGGCCTGTGGACTTCACTAAGCATTTGATACAGTACCCCATAAATGCTTAGTTTACAATGTAAGGTCTTTTGGAATTGATGAGATCATATGTACCTGGATAGAAAACTGGTTAGAGGAGTGCATCCAAAGGGTGGTGAATAATGACATATGTTGTAAATGGTGTGGAGTTATGATTAAGGTGCTCCAGGGCTCTGTTCTGGGACCAGTTCTGTTTAACTTGTTCATAAACTATATAAAGGTTGGGATAAATGGTTCAACCTCAGTGTTTGCTGATACAAAGCTAAGCAAGGAAATAACCTCATGTCAGGATATAGACACTTTAGAAGAAGACCTAGTTATAAGATGGGTGGACAGCTAAATGGCAGATTAGGTTTAATATTGAAAAATTTAACAACTTAACATAATACACTTGGGAGCTAAAAATGTGAATTACTTGCTAGGGGGAGATCATCTGTGGGAATTAAAGATAGAAAAGGATCTGGGGGTCCTAGTAGATCACAGACTCATGAATATCATGCAATGCCAAGCTGAGACAAGCAAGGCTAGCTATTAGCATGCATTAAAAAAAGTATTTACTCAAGAGATACAACTATAATTCTACCACTTTACAAAACCCTCCTTCAGCCACATCTTGAGTATGCTATCCAGTTCTGGTCACCAATCTTTAGGAATGGTGTGTTTGACCTGAAGAGAGTCAAGAGTAGGGCAAGATAATAGGGGAGCTGGAGGACCTCAGTTATGAGGAGCAACTACAATTCTCCTTGGTGAAGAGGTGCTTAGGAGTGAATATGATCGCAATATACAAATCTTTAAATGGGAACTGTAGCATTTGGAGGAAACTCTTTATCCTAAGGTCTGTAAAGAAGATATGCAGCCAAACAATGACGTTGGACAAGAAGTGGTTCTGTCACAAGTTAGCCTGCAGTTTCTTGTTTGTGCATTCTTACCTCCTTGCTGCAGTGCTGTTCCTGATCCCTTTCACATGTGTGGTTTATTTGTGCTCTCCTATGGGCGTCATCTGCTGGTCTCTGGGTTTTATTTCCTTCCCTTCCATCACTTCCTGGCCCGCCTCCTTGTTTGCCTGCCTATATAAGACATACGCAGTCTAGGCCACTTGCCTGAGCAACTTCTTAGTTGTCTGAGCTCCTGTGTGGTGCTAACTCCTGTATCCTGCATTTGACTACTCGTGTACCACCCCTGGCTTTGTTCACTGACTGTGCTTGTTTTCCACTCATCCTGACCTAGGCTAGTCTATTGGATTTCCGTTTGCCTCCTCCTATTGTACTATTCTCCCATGAGCAGTCTCCACATCCTTATCTGGGCATACCCGGGGGCCGCGATCTGGTCCCAATTTACTGCAAGTCCATCCCCACCATCAGGGGCTCTGGTAAAGAAGCAGGCTGGGGCTTAGACTCTGCACCCTGGGGAACCCAAAGTTGACAAGGGCTCACTACCACAGGTGCTTGACAGGTTCAATATTAAACTGCATAAGGGGTTCTTTATTATTAGAGGTAAGGATGTGAAGCTCTCTTCTGCAGCTGGTGGTGTCATCAGGGAGTATAGATATATACAAAAAAATGTTAGATGCATTTCTTAGTGAGCAAATATACAGGAATATAAAAATTGTAGCACACACACTCATGTTAAACTGTGTTTTTATTCAACCTTACCAACTATGTAACTATAGGAAACTATGTAACACGTGGAGAAGGTGTTTTGATAGTCCTTCCTGGCAAGGTATCCCCCCATGATTAGGGCATGTGGCTTGATATGGTTGAGGGAATACGTCACACACTCATTCCCTTCCTATTCTGGCAAGCCAGAACACAGTTTCTGACCAGGGGCTGGTATGAATTTCTAGAAGGGAGGGGACAGAATTCCAGTCTGGGGATCGTGCATAGTTTAGTCACTTTGTTTTGTTTCTATGTCTGA